AATGGCCCCAATAATCAAATTCTGAATTAAAACTGATTTTCTTGAGTCATTATATGCATTTTTTTTATCTTAACTAGTTTAGTTTTTAAAAGGAATCTCCCCAATAATCAAATTCTGTAACACACAATTGGTCCATATGCTTTAACTACTGTTTATTTGCATTGTTTATAACATGTAAATTAATTCATTTGATATTTAACAAAAGTGAAGTTTGTGGTTATCTATGAGTTGCATATTTTGGTAGTTAAGTACTGTATACTGTATGTCATTCCTCTACTTTGTTAGTGAAATAACGTTTTTAAAACTTTTATTTCTACTATCAAAAAATGTTGTTCAGTGGCCATTGTTTTTCAATTATCTCTCAGAACATTATTTGCATCTGCTGTAATTGTTAAAAAAAACAAATGCTTTTAAAGAAATTTAAAAAAAATCACATATTGATCTCAGTTCAAAGGAAAAAATAAAACTTATTCGGAGGGAAAAAAAATACAAACGCATACAACATGAGCACATGAGTACAAGTAAATATTTATGTTTCTAAGGATGATGGTACTGTATAAGTGACAGGAGAATTTTGCAATCCAACACAAAATGTAAACATGAATTGGCCATGGATGAGTTCATAAAGGATTGATTTAATTGGTCGATTTTCATCACATGATACTCGCATTTTGCAACTCGCAACTCGCATTTTGCAACTTGCATTTTGCAAATCGCAACTCGCATTTTGCAACTCGCAACTCGCATTCTGTCTCTTATACACATCGGGCCTACTGTGTGGAGCCACAATGGAGCTAAGCAATAATTAGCCCTTCTTAGCAGATTAACTAGATAAACAGTTTGGCTTTGACTGAATCAGTTTGTTTGTTAAGTGGGCAAACAAAGTGGGGCCATTTTTACCTACCTGTCATATGGGGCCATTTTTACCGGGGCCATATTTTCTGGGGCCATTTTTTCCGGGGCCATTTTTTCTGGGGCCATTTTTTCCGGGGCCATTCTTACCTACATTCCCCTGAATAACACCCTCTCCTCCCTAACCACATCATGCAACACCCCTACCCCTTCTTGTCGGGACAAGTCAAGAATTATCGTGAAAAAATATAAACCTAATATGTGGTCGTGGTAGGGGTGGTGCCAGGATTCGCCCGACAAGAAGCCCTATGCCCCAGATGGTGGTCCGATTACAGCATTCAGATAATCTCGAGCAGATTTTTTTTTTAATGGAAAACGAATATCTCGGCACATTTTTGTTACATTGCAGTGTTCCAAACACAAGCCAAGAACAGCGATATTGAAAGATGTAGTTTCATGGCTGAAGAGTGTGCCTCCTAAGCTTACATTTGTATATATAAGACACAGAAACGCTGGCTGCTACCACTGTACAACTACACTACTTGCAACAAAAGAAATTGCTGAAAAGACGAGGCTAAATGTGCAAACGAAGTTCATGTCATTGAAGGTGGTTTTAAAATGATGCATTTACATTATGCATGAGGCAACTGAGACCGAGGAAGAAGAGACTACCGTAATGGTAATGAACTGTAACCAACGTCCAGAGGGCGCCACCGGGTGTTGTGAAGACACGACTGTGGTACTCTATGATGTCCTGTATTAACCAAACGTGTATGTAGAACAATTAAAAAAGCACTGACCTACGCAGGGAAGGTTCATATATTGCAGCTATAGTTTGAGTCATGCTAATGTAACGTCGCGTTAGTTGTGAAGTTGGTTTTCATGTCTTTTTTTTTATCACCATCATCATTATCATCACCACCATCATCATCATCACCGCCACCATCACCATCACCATCACCATCATCATCATCATTATCATTATTATTATCACCATCATCACCATCATCATATTTTTATAGGGCGGGTTACCATTCACTGTGATTGGTTTTATACCTTTTTTTTTTTTATAGATTTTATAAATGGGTAGACACTTACACTAATTTAAAACGCAATTTATATTGGCCTTTTTCAAATTATCAATTACTAACATCAAAGGGTATTGTAATAGCCAATTCCATTGTTGGATTTTAAATGTGCTCAGTCTTTATTCATGTTTGTCATTGTGTGGACATTGTCTCCCGGTGTACTGCCCAATCAAAACCAGAAGGACCCCACTGGAAATAAGTCTTCTTCAGACTTTCGATTGTGGATTTTCCTTGGTATATTTTACACTGAATAAATCCATCCCTCCAGTAATTCAGATTCAGCAATTTATTGTAATACTAGAGTTTAAAATATTAAGAGGTCTGACTGTCGGAGTTTCTTTTAAACAAAATACAATTTTAGATGTACAACACTATATGGACATAAATTGCATTCTCACAATTTAAATATTTATTCTAAATTGTCTTAATTTGACGACATGTTGTTCATTTTTTAATTTAATCCAATATTTTCTATGCATTTTGGTTTGGGTACAATAGGGAGGAAGTGTGAGTAGCAAGCGTGTAAACATGTCTAGGGGTAAGACGAGAAAACAAAAATAAGGATGGAGAAATGCCGGAAATACAGTTTTGAGACTTTAAATATTACATGGTTTGAGGCTGGTTGAGATGAAAAAATCCGGTTGTGTAGTGGGAACTATTTTAAAATTTTGTAATAAAATGTTTTAACTGGTAATTTAATTGAAGTTTGATGGTTTTAATTATAGCTGAATTGGTAATAACATATTTTTATTAATAATAATATATTTTAAATTGTTTTATTTCAATTTTTAATGTATCAATATATTACTTCCGAAATATTAAATATATGCCTCGATTCCAGATATTGTGCAAATTTTCTATTTTTATAACTTTTATACAATCAAGTCATGAATTTTAGATAGGCCTATTCTCAATTGTTTATATTTTGACTGTTTTGAATTTATTGTATTCTTAATGTAAAGCGCCTTTGAACATGATTATTCATAAAAAGGGCGCTTTAGAAATTTGGTAAATAAATAAAATAAATAAATAAAGTGTGATATAGCGCTGTTAGACTTTTAAGTAGATCACGAAATTGTGAAAAGATAGGTCTGGGGGATCAAAACCTACCAACTTTCACCAAGGTTGGGACTAAAAGTATAAAACAAGGATGTAACAACTCTAGATTTCTTGAAATCGCCAGACGGTTTCAAAATTCAAAGGATCCTACAATGACAGTATTTTAATACACAACAGTCTATTTAAATTATGAAAAAAATCTTTTATGAAAGTAAATGAAATTATTGAAATTAATTTAGCTAATAAAATACAGTGTAGGCCTATAGATACAGCAGATATTCTTGAAATAACTATAGATTAAAACATCAGAGGAATCCAAAGAGAGCAGTTGATTGTACACAATAACCCCTAGAAGTAAAACTGTCGACGAGCAACATTTCGGGTATTTCCTAGCTAGGTTTAAACATCAGATGGGAAAAGAAGACCGTCGAGGTAGGCCAGCAATATCTTGGTCTCATTCCATCAAGACCATGACAGAGCAAGCCTGTCTCACATTATCACGACCTAACAATGCGACCGTACCGACCTACGGTCGTATCTGACCGGATGTAGGACCTTGCGACCAGTACCGACCAGTATATTTGTTTTACTATATTTTTTTTCAACATTTTGAAAACTCCGCGACCATCGAAGACCCTCTCTTTTACATGAGCAAGTTGCTCATAGCAGCTCTCACACTGATCGGTGTCGGTCGTATACTGATCGCAGTGCATATAGGTCGTAATAGTGTGAGAGTTGCTTACGCCTAGCATCACACCTGGCTCAAGACCGAAGTCGTTGTCGTGACCTCATCGTGACCACAGTGCTACGCACTGATCAAGGAAGAGGAGGAGGTTTGAATCAGAATATTGATAAAAATTAATATTTATCTAGTCAAGTGTTGTATTAGGCATATAGGGCTTATATGAATTTTATAAAGAAATAAGTATTTGTTTTATATTTATTTTTTCCCATACTAAATTATCAGTACTCACCCCTCCCCCACCCTGACTACGGGGCTGAATTCTATACTCTTTAGCAGGGGTTGGCATAAAATTTGGTCGGAGGACCAATGTGAATTTTTGATTTAACACCGAGGGCACCCAAACTTTAGTGTTTCCTGTGAGCTTCCAAAAACCTCCAAGCACTGCTTTTACATCACTTTTTTTTTTCTCAGTTTAATTCATTGTCGCGTGCTGCAAGAAAATCGCTGACGGGCTGCATGCGCTTTGCCCACCTGTGCTCTTTAGTAATACTTACAATTGCAACACGACACGTTGACTGTAAAGAGCAAATGGAATCTCTGTCAGTTGGTTACTCGATAAATCCCTGCATATAAATATGATAATAAAATAAAGAAATATTTTAAAATTTGAAGATGTATGCGAGATTTCATTATTTATTTAGGCATAATACACAAAAATACTTGTTCATACGAGTATAATAATTAATGATTTGGACGTAATATACGGTACTCTTTATCCAGAATAAATTGAAATGCCATGCCATTGGTTTAATTTAGTGTACTGGGAGAACGTTCCTAATATTGAGTCCAAATGGTGTTGTTGTTTTAAGTAAAAGTTCCCAGTGATTCTCTTTATCTTTGCGATTTTTGTCGCTCCAACTTGTATTATGGTCAATTGCAATCACTCTGAAATTTGAAATTGAATGACCAGCTAAATTGAAATGTTCAGCTACTGGTTGATCAAGCTTAGATGTTCTGATAGCTGATCTATGTTGTGTCATTCTCATACAGAGAGTGTTTTTTGTTTCTCCGACATATGTTTACCACAAATATTACAATATATGAGATAAATGACATTTTGGTGAGGCAATTAATTGATTGCCTTATCCGAAATATGTGGTTAGTCTACCCTGTAGCTTTTCAACGAATAAAGTCCTATGAAAAATCATTGTGTAATAAAATGCCTTCCACGGGATTCAAACCTGCGACCTCTCGCTGACAAGGCGAGCGTCATAACCACTAGACCACGAATGTTTCATGGTTGAACAGGTCCAAATACCCGTCGGGAACATTGTATCACACAATGCTATGCCTCAGGAGGGCGTTAGGCCAGATAAATCTGGAAATACGGCTAGAAATACTGTCGTATATTATATATGATATTGAAGAAAGTTAGCCGTTAACACTGTTGAATAAATATAATATAAATCATCAAAGGTACATATACAGTGTTTAATAAGGACATGATGGAACATCGTAGGCTACCCTGTAGCTTTTCAACGAATAAAGTCCTATGAAAAATCAATGTGTAATTAAATGCCTCCGACGGAATTCGAACCTGCGAACTCTCGCTGACAAGGCGAGCGTCATGACTACTAGACCACGAAGGCTTCATGGTTCAAATACCCGTCGGGAACATTGTATTACACAATGATATGCCTCAAGAGGGCGTATATCCAGATATTGTTTTTTGTAGGACCTGTCTCTTATACACATCTAGATGGGTATAAGAGACAGGTGTATATATATATATTTATATATATATAGTGAATAATATAGTTGTCTACGGTACTGTGTATTGTGTGGGCGTCCTACTCACAATTGAAATATGGTTTCAACCTCAGCAAATGCGTCAGGGTGTATATGCTGCAATCGGTTAGATGCAAAATTTCTATGAAAATTTAAAAAAAAAAGGTCAATGTAAATATTTTGATACAAAAAATTTTGAAAACTTCAATAATGGCATTATTAATATTGTTGTTCTTATCACTATAATTGTCGTTGTTATTATTATTGCTCATTGCCACCGTTGTCGTCATCACAATCATCGTCTTGGAAAAGCCTCCCAATGTTTGCCTTTACTTGAGACATTTTTGGAAATGTTGCACGTCGCTAAATTTAATTAGGTTGAGAATTTTCTGAAAAAAGGGCCTACAACAATATTTTTCAAGATTCATGATCAAAAGCTATAGAGGGTGCTATTTGATATCAGCTACAGTTAAACTGATAAACGTAAAATACGCATGCTAGACTTCCATCAAGCGAACGTAGTGTTCAGTGCCTGTGGATGAATCTGTATTCAGTTTGGTTATACAGGGTATGAGTATTGTAAAGATAATTTTAGTATACATGTAGTACTGATTCTGAAGGGTATAAACGTTTCAAAATGCCCGGACACTGCAGGTAGTAAGACAATTCTGTGTATTATTTTAATTATGATTTTTCACGAACAGTTCGTTCATATTCAATATAAATAAGGAATACGATAGCAATCCAACGAGCAAGCAGTTAGAAACAATCATACCAAACCAACGATATTCTATACACTGACTATATGAAATAAAACAAACGTGACTCCAAATAGAGAAAGTGAGGCCATACTACTCAACGTTTCGAATTTATTTAGTCATCAGCAGGAATAGACACTGTTCTGCCAACAGAATCAAGAAAGCCTTAAATACAATAAAACGGCATGTTGTTATTATTATTATTATTAATGTTGCTGTTGTTTTGTTAATATTGTGATAAAACAGTACAAAAATAGAAATAAAGGCGATATAGTTGCTAAACGAACAGACATGTAAAAATATTTTTCTATTTTTTTTATTCCCCGACGGAG